CCTCCTTCATCTGGCCTCAAATGTGTGAAATGAAGACAAGCTACCAAGATGTCTGGATAGTCAAGCAGGCAGTCCCCTGTTGTGTGTAGATCTCACTGATGCGTGCTTTTGGGGTGCACACTTCCTGCTCCTGCCAGCCTCAGCTAACCCTCACGAGAGCTAAGAGTCATGGGGTGGGTGGATATCTCTGGTGTGTGTCCAAGGCCATTCAGCCACAGGGCCAAGCTTCTGGGCTCATATCATGGTGGAAACACTGGATAACTAGAAATAGGGCCTCTCCCGACTTCGGCCAGGAATGCTAGGAGAGCAGTATGACTTTCTCCTCTTGAGCTGGAGGGTCTCTAGGGAACCTGTCTAACCTTTAGGGGCTCCTCTTAGGATACAGACAGACAGGGACAGGCAAAGCCTAGAGAACGGGATCGCCTTAGATGAGGGTCAGGCCTGTCAGGTGGGTATCAGACCCTCCTGAAGAGCTCCAGTTCCCCCTAGGCTGCCTTCTTGGGGATCCTTAGGTCAGGAAGTCTCTTGAAAAGCTATGAATTTCCCACCATCTTGGACTCTCTTCTGTGAGCATGTTTCTGAGTCCTAGAGTAGGCTTTGGAAGCCTTGGAGGAGCAGAAGAATAAAGACCCAAACCATTCTTTCCTTAACAAGAACACACACTTGAGTCTAGAGGAAAAAAACTGAAAACTCCTGCATTTCACCACATCTCTTCCTACTCCTGGGTCCTGGATTTGCATGTGGCCCTTTTTATCTATTCACAGATCAAAACCTGTCATGACCAAAATGTCCTCCCTTACAACTAGACTGACTTAGTGTTTGTACTGGCTAGTTTTATGCCAACTTGACATAAGCAAGATTCATCTGAAAGGAGGGAGCCTCACTGAGAAAATGCCTCCCTAAGATCAGCGTAGGCAAGCCTAGAGGGCATTTTCTTAATTAGTGATTGATGGGGCAGGGCCCAGCCCATTGTGGGCAGTACCATTTCTGGGCTGGTGGTCCCGGGTTCTATAAGAAAGCAGGCGGGGCAAGCCATGGGGAGCAAGCCAGTAAGCAGCACCCCTCCATGGCCTCTGCATCAGCTCCTGCCTCCAGGTTCTTGCCCTGTTTGAGTTCCTAACCTAACTTTCTTTGATGATGAACAGTGATATGTAAGATGAATAAATCCTTTCCTCCCCAAGTTTCTTTGGTCATGGTGTTTCATCACAGAAATAGTAACTCTAACTAAGACAAGTTGGTACCAGGTTTATTGCTGTGAGAGACCTGACCTTGTTGTTTTGGGGATGATTACAGAAGGACTTTGGAATGTTATGCAAGAAAAGCCATTGAGTGTTCAGTGTTTGATGAGCTATTCTGTAGGAGCTTGAAAGACAAGAATGTTGAGGGCAGTGCAGATGATGAAGGCCTGGCTTGTGAAGTTTCAGAGGGAAGTTTAAAGACTCCATCGGGACATTTGTTGTTCTGGATTAAGATCCTGTGGTTCTGCTTAGCTGGAGCTAAAGAATCAGCTGTGATTTACAAGAGACCAGAACTACTGAGGTGAACTCTTTGCTTAGCTGGGATCTCAGTGCTAGTCACCTGGAGCTGAGAAATTGGCAATGATTGGGAAAAGTGTTTCTGGAAAGTGCTTCCTGAGAGTGAGCACACACAAGCTGTGTTCCAGAGGAGGACAAGGGTGTATCTCATCTACTGGCAGTCAAAACTAAGAGTCACCCAGGTGGTACTAGTTTTGAAGTCATGAAGGAGTCATGGAGAGCAGCCAAGGCTTGGCACAGTGAGAAGCCAGGAAATGCTATTGGTGGAGGTATGACCTCAGTGGCTTTTGAAGACCCAGGATTGAAGGGTTCAAAAGAAGTTGAGAGTTGGCACCATGAAGAAAGCCTATGAGAAGCAACTGGTGAAAGCGAAGCCCAGTTGCTGCAGAAGAGCCCACCATTTTGGAGATGCCAGTACCATGACATGACCAAGAACAGCAGCAGCAGTGGAGTGAAGCCAGCTAGAGCCCAGAAGACAGGCTGTGTGTTGCAGACCTGGAGAAGTGACCCAAGCCTCTTGAAGGATCCTGGAAGACCATGAGTGAATTCGAGATATTGGACATTGAATTGTTTATCCTATTGAAGTTTGGTTCTGCTTTGTTCAGGTTGTGACTGTGGCCTGGCTCTTCCCTCTGGAAGTGAGAAGGTATTTTATTTAAATTTTATTTTTACAGGAGCCCTCAGCTGAAAGACTCTGAGCTTTTAAAAGAGATTTTGTATTTTTAAAGAGATTAGAGATTTTGAAGAGGCTGAAATTTTAATATGTTTGAATTAGTAAGGACTGTGGGACTTTTAAAGTTAATTATGTTTGATATTGTGATATTAATATGAATGTGTCATCTTGGGGATAAATGAAAAAGGAAAGGTTCTAAATGAAAAGTGATGCATTTATGTGTCAAGTTGGCAAGGTCGGTTGTACTGGTTACCTTTATGTCAGCTTAACACAAGCTAGAGTCACCTGTGAGGAGGGAGCCTCACTCTTAAGATCTGGCTATGGGCAAGCCTGTGGCGCATTTAGGTTCGTGCCTAGGGAAGTGTCTAGCCCATTGTGAGCGCTGTCATCCCTGGATTGGTGGTCCTGGGTTCTACAAGGAAGCAGGCTGAGTAAACCACAGGGAGCAAGCCAGTAAGCAGCACCCCTCCATGACCTCTGCATCAGCTCCTGCCTCTACCTGTTTGAGTTTCTGTCCTGACTTCCTTTGATAATGAGCAGTGATGTGGAAGCATAAGCCAAACAAACCCTCTCCTCTAGCTAGGGCTAGATTAAGTTCTGGGGGCTCTGTAAACTGGTTCAAACCAGCCCAAACTGGTGGGTGCCTATGGAGATTACATGACTTCGATCAAGGCATGGCTCCTGAAGGCTACATGACTCTGATCAAGGCTTAGGAGCTTCTCAGAGCAGTAACTAAGCAACCTTATCTCCCTAGGCCATTTGTCCTGGCTGAGCTGGTTTCTGTGGGGTTTTTTTCTTGCAACTAAAGTTTCTTTTTCTGAGGAAGGGAAAACTCAGGCCTGTTCTCTCTCGGCATGAAAATGAAGCCTGTCACGAAGTTGGTTTGGTCAGGCTTATTTAGCCAGGCCCTCTCACCCTAATTAAGGTAGTGTTTTGGTTGAATTAGGGCCACAGTCTTTAAGATCCAGGTCCTTTGGAAGGGACACTCTTCAAGACTGGCCCTCCACACAGAATAGCTAGAATTGCTTGCTAAAAGATAAAGTGAGATCTGCTGACTGACGTGTTTCCTTGAGCAAACAGTGAGTCTTGAATTAGCTCCAGTCTAGAAACAGCCTGGGAGTCCACAGAAGGGGAAATGGGTGGGGCTGGGAGCATGTGTGGGATGAGCAGAGAAGGATGCTGTGGATTGATGATAGGGACTGCAGGTCTGTTTGGGTAATTTGATGGAAACTCCATGGTTAGAGGCCATGCAGTTTGTGAGATTGGCACACTGATCTGTGTTCCATTTTAGCCCTGGGGACCCGGGTTGCCAGCTGGAGTGACCTCAACTGCCTTATCCCCCACCCCTTTGACTCGACCTGACAGACTCTGCTATGTCCACAGGGAAAGGACTGAGCCCCCCTCACTGGGTTAGTGGGGTCCCCAGGATTGAAGATGAGGTGTTTGTCTTTGCCCTTCCCTCTGTTCTGCCCACACAGAGCAGGACCTTCCTTTCAGGAAGCCTGCTGAGTGGCACCATCTACCTCAGACTTGGCTTCAGTTGCCTCTGCTGTGTTATAAAATGTACCACCGGGTGTCTGTGACTAGGGGAGTGTGTCTCCCTGCACATTGTCATCGGAAGTGCAGAGGAGGATACTGGGAGTGGCAACCAGGGCAGGAGCGGGGGGGGGGGGTGTCCAGGTGTCATACAAGTCTGACAGAGGAATAGCCAGATCCGTGGCATAAACCTGGAGTAAGGAATTCATTTGGACACCACTGAATACACGTGGTGGCTAAGTGCTGTGGTTGGTGTGGGGTACACAATAGAAAGAGGCCATCTTGTATGCCACATAGCCAGGGACATGTAGCATAACAGTGACATTTTGATCTTGCCCAAAGAATGAGTAAGAAGGCATTCAGGTAAGAGAGAGAGTTTTGATAGACAGAACAGACGCCATGCACAAGAGCCCTATGATGAAGGGGGTAGTCTAGTTGATCAAGAGAAACCAGAAGAGTTCATGTACAGGAGAGATCTGGGGAAGAGGAAGAGACTGAGCAGATGGGTAGAGTAAGAGGGGACCTGTCTCACTCAGCGTTTTTAATGGCTGTGAGAAAACACCACGACCAAAAGCAACCCAGAGAGAAAAGGGTTTATTTCATCTTCCAGTGTGCAGCCCATCATCTAAGAACCACCCATTGTAACCTCCCTGGGGCAGGCGGAGCTGTCCTCCGGTGGTCATTTGTACCTGTTACCGCAGACCTCACCATAGCTGTGCACCCTGTTCAGGCCTGGGGGCCCCCTCCCGAGATTCTAAGCTAAGTCCTCTGCTCCTACCTGTGTAGTACTTTCCGGTGCTCTAGCAGAGCATTACAGGGGAAAGGCTTAAAATAACTTAGAGCTGTCACAGTCTGAGAGCAGAAGCCTGAACCGAAGGCACCAGCCATCAAGCCATGCCCCCTCCAAGTAGGAAGCCCCTCCTTGCCCTTCCCAGCCTCCGGCTGTGGCCAGCAGTCCTTGGTTGGTAGTTCTGTGTTCTAGTCTGCATGTCTGTGTTTCATGGTCTCCTTCCCATGTCTGTTTCTGCACATGGCACCGCTGTCTGCATTCTCTTCTTTAAGGACAGCAGTCACAGTGGGCTAAGACCCTCCACAACTGCTTAGGAACCCACCTTCTCATGGTAACTATAGGTTACAGATACATTCACAGGTTGAGGGATCAGCACAATTCAGCCCTTTTCAAGGCAATGTCAGCGGACAGAGGACTGGGAGAGAAAGTGGCTTTGGTGGGGATGGAGAAGAATGTTGGGAACAAGTATGGCATTGGGAGGCGACTAAGAGAAAGCTGCTGGGGTCCATAGCAGGTGACAAACATTTTGACTGAAAAGGGGAGCAACCAGTGCCACAGCCTTCTTTAAAAGTAGAAGGGACAGGTGAGGATATAGCTCACTGTTAGAGCATTAGTGGAGCATACACAGGTTCAAGCCTCAGTGCCCTAAAGGAAGAAGTGATAGAATTTGTTAACTGGTTTTGTGTGGAGGATACATATGGACTATTCCAAGATGCCAAGGCGGGTCCATCACAGAAAGAGCCTGTTTTAATCTCATTTTCTCTTTCTGTGGTAACATACCTTAATAGAAACAACTTGATGGAGGAGGGCTTATTTTGGCTCACAGTTCAAGGGTGCTTCATGATAGGAAGTCAGGAAGGAGGAGCTTGATACAGCTAGTCAGTCACATTGTATCCACAGGAAACAACAATGAATGCTGCTTATGCTCAGTTCACTTTCTCCTCTTTATGTAGTCAAGGATCCTAGCCTAGGGATAGTGGCACCCACAGTGGGAAGATTGTACCACCTCAATTAACCTAATCAAGATAACCCCCCTCAGACTTGCCCAGCCGCTCATCTCCCAGGAGATTCTGGATCTCATCAAATTGACAGTTGAGATTATCAATCATAGAGGGATCCCAGGCCTCGACGTTTAAATCATGTTGCCATCATCTTTGAGCTTTTCCTCACTCTGCCCTTCCTCTGTTTGTTCCTCTGCAGCCTAATTGACAGAAGAGGGTACGTCCAGCCTGACACGCCGCAGCCAGCAGCACCATCCAACGGGATCACTATGTATGGGGCCACGCAGTCGCAGAGTGACATGGTAGGAACTGCCCACAACAGAGACACTTCCCTGTGACGGCTTCTCTTCTTCTGATATGCCCTCTAACCTCTAACATCTGGAACACTCACGTGACTGACATGCTAGCACGGGGGAAGTGAAATGACCAAGTAGGACAGTATCCAGGAAGGAACCTCGCTATCTAGTCCAGCTGGCTTGTTATTTAACACACACACACACACACACACACACACACACACACACATACACACACACACAATCTCTTGGCTCCAAAAGCATTTGTCACATTAAATCCACAAAATCAGGGAGCTGTTAAAGGACAGGATCTACCTTCCCAGCAGGGCTAGACCTGCTTGATAGTCTCCATTTCCCGTGCTCCCCTCACCCAGCCTGTGCTGCTACTCTCATGCTTTACCCTGCTTCTGTCCGTGGGCAGTGGGCAGCACCACACTTCTCCATACTTTGGCCCTGAATCTTAGACCCACCTGCAGCGCCCCCCCCCCACACACACACCCAATCCTCAGGCCAGGAGCTCCTTCTTTTACAGTGTAAACCAGACTGCCTGCACACCTCCCCAGCGTAGGCATGTGTGTGATCACACCGCTGTGCGGCAGGAGGTGGGGGGAGGGCAGGGAGTGTCTTCCCGTGGACATCCGCAACCGTAGCGTGCTGTCCCTGACCGCTGGAGACAGGACTTCCTGGGGCATTTGGAAGGCAGTGGTCTCCCCATTTGCCTAAAGACACGAAATCATGTCCGAGCCCACTCTGCTGTTCGCTGTTTGTATTCCCTGGTGTCACCCTCCTTCAGGAGAATGCTCAGGCTCATTGTCGGCTGGCCGTGGTGTCTTGGTTGTGTTGTGTTGCTTCATGGGCTAACAGGTCTCCTTGGAAAGCAATATGGACGTAGCACAGTCCTTGTCCCTCTTCTTCGCTACCACCCACACAGGAAACCCTGAGGGGCTCTTACCGTATTTTCTCAGAGGGAAGCAAGAACAGAGAGAGCAGGATATGTGCTCACAAAAGGGAGGATATTGAATTTATTAGGCAACAGATGTCTAAGGCACTTAATGATCTCATTTAATCCTAAACCAACAGTGGAAAATTATCGCTCAATTTTTTTTTCTTTTTAGCTATAAGGGGAATGTAGCAGAATTTCCACCAGAATCTGTCGATCGCTTCTCTGACTGGGAGACATGTATACCGGCATACTCTCACTCGCTCACCCAGCACCTACCACAGGTTCTTGCTGTGTGCTGAGCGCCAGACTCAAAGGATAGAAGGTTTATTGTGCTCAGAGTGTTGGCGCTCATCACAACAGGGAAACAAGCACTGAGTTACCACACAATGGCCTGCTCTAGACTCCGTGAGGCTCCCCCAGGGCCGATCCCAGGATGCTCTGCATGGTGGCTGGATTTAAAAGCGGAACAAAGGCCATCTTGACGGTGCTCTGAGCCATACTGGACTCTGTTGAGGGACGTGATTGGTGGCTGATCAAAGCAGCCGAGAGAACAACGTGGGGAAAGAGATATGTATTCGGGCTCATGATTCACATGGTTCCGATGACACCTTGTGCTTGGGCAGGTCATGAAGGTGGCAGAAGTGTGTGGGGGAATGTGGTGGTGGCAGGAGTTGGTGTGGAGTTTCACTTCCTGGAGAACAGAAAGCAGAGAGGGTGGGGTGGTGAACGAGAAGAGGTAGGAAAGAGATACCCTCTTTGTACAAACACCCATGTGACCTACTTTCCCCTCCTAAAGGTCCCAGAACTTTCCCCACTGGCCATGGACCAAGTGAACAACCCATGATTTCACAGTCAAACCGTAATAGCACAGAACCCTGTGGGCAATCCCCGAACCAAAGCACCTGAATCTGTCATAGGATCTATGCAGAGATTCCTCCACATGGGGATGCTGTAGAGTCAGCCAGCAGCCGGTGTTGGGCTTCTAGAGTACATACCATTAGTGGAAAGGAAGCCAGGCTGTGCCAATACCCAGCACCCCAACCCCAGCCTCAAACACCACCCTCAGTGCCACTGCTGTGACTCCTGGCGAAAGGGAAGTGAGGGAGAACTAACTCCAGCCACCAAACTGCCACCACTTACCAGATAATGGAGCTGGTGAGTTTCATGGCCTTTCCCTGACCCACGGTTCCATAAAGTGGGAACAGTAATGTTCTCAGCTGGTAGGGCTTCTGCAAAGATAGAGTCGGGTGGCGGACAGCATTTCAATCTTGCCTGACACAAGGCAAGTTGTATGTAAGGACTCACTCTTACTGTGTCCTCCCTGAAGTACATGGCTGCTGAGATCTGGCACAGTTGTAGCCTTTTGAGAAGGTGGACAAGAGAGTGTGTGACTGATATGTGTAAAAGCTAGGTTCCTTCCAGTTAGCCCCCTAACCGTTAGGGGCTCATACAACCTCTCTGCTCCTCAGTGTTCCTCTTTTGTGAGCTTTGTATCCAGAGTTACTGCGAGCTCTGAGCAGCGATGAGTCTGATCTTTGACCATCACAGGCCGGACACACAGGATAGCCCCACCTGGAAGAGGGTGAGCCCTGACTCTCGGCTCTGAGTGTGTCCACCCTCCCTGGAGGAAGGGACACCCTGAAGTCTAGTCTCCACACACACTCCCCTGAAGGCCACACTGCTTCTCTCTTCTCGTTTGTCTTGCGTTTTTACAGTTCTGGGGTAAATCTTGCTTGGCCATGATACACAATTATCCTTTTATGTTGCTGGATCTTACTTTGCTGGCATTCTACCGAGGCAGGTTATGTCTTTATTGATAAGAGATTTGGTACGCAGGTTCCTTTGTTTGCTCTGTACTTGTGAGTCTGTCCTGAGCTTCTGTGTCTTGGTCAGTATCAGCCGTGTGTCTTTATAGAGGTGTATGCACCTCATCCATCACAGCCGACCCATCTGTCTTGTCGATTCTGAAAATAGATGAGAGATGAGATAACTGGAGGACCGAAAATGTTTAAACAAATAGAAAATGACAGTAATTCGTAGATGGGAAGGAAAGAGGTTTTAGACAAAGACTTGAGAGCAATTAAAGAGTACACACTTGGGGACTGGCCAGGTAGCTCGGTGGGTAAAGTTGCTAACCATTCAATACAAGCCTGATGACCTGAATTTGATCCCCAGAACACACATGAAGCTACAAGGAGAAAACCAACCCTGCCAAGTTTTCCTCTGGCCTCCACACACATGCTGTGGCGTGCACACACCCCCCCCCACACCAATGAATAAAATAACAACCTTAAATCACTTTCAAAGCACATGGAATAATCCCTGAGAGGCAAGTGGGATAGTTTTTCTTTTGGGGGTGCTCTTCGTTCCCATCTCTGTGTGTGGGAGAGAATGTGTGGTTATGGAGTACAGGAGCCCACAGCACACATAGAGACGTCGGGAGACAGACTCAGCTCTTAGTCCCTGACCTCCATCTTGTTTAGCCAGCGTCTCTTCTTGTCCATTGTGCGTGCCAGGCCAGCTGCCCGTGATCTCCTGCTGATTATCCTGTCTCTGCCTGCCATCTTGCCCCTGCACTCGAATCCCACAAATGTAGCACCGTGGCTGGTATGTGGGCTCTGAGGACCCAAACTTAGGACCTCATCGTTGGAGGGAAGTGCTTTACCCGCTGAGCTATTTTCCCAGCCCTGATTTTGGTATTTGTTTATCTTATTATTTTATTTTATAAAATACATGTAACTCTCCTAGCTGCAACCTCCAGCCAAGAGACTCCACCGGGGGTCGCGTGTCCTCTACTGTTTGCTTTGCTTTCTTTCCAGTAAAAATGTACACACCCCACAGTTTCCTGAAGTTGCCAAGGTATGGTAGAATTAGCTATGGTATTTCAAGAGTGACAACATTAATTCTTTGGGGGCTATTATAACATTCCTTTCCTTTGACTTCCTTAGACTGCCTATAACAGGCATCCCCACTACAATCTTTTCTCTCTCTCTCTCTCTCTCTCTCTCTCTCTCTCTCTCTCTCTCTCTCATTTACACACACACCAGCCCAACAGGACCAGCAGGGCTTGGCCAACAGGCACTAATACCTCCCAAGTTATCAGGTGTCTAGAGCACCTGAAATAGCAGGCATTTCCCCTTTGCTCCTTGGAAACAGCTCTATCACCAAGGGTACCTGGCTCACGTGCTTGCCAAGAGGTCCATCACTTCCCTTTTTCAGAATCTATTTTATATACTTAGCACCCAAAAGCAATTTTGGAAATCTTGTATCCTAATCCTCAATGTGAAACAAACACGAAAAGCCTTCCATGTTGAGTCAGTCGGAGTCATAAAGTGAACTTGAAGCCATTTTGAAGTAAAGCCAAGCTTATTTGGTACAGAGCCACACTGCATTATGTGGCCTGAGCTTTCTCTCTCTTAATAGCTTGTGTTGCTATTTGCAAGGGCCGTCTCATTCCATTCTCATCCCAGCTTAGAAAGTATCCCCATTTGTGGTGATTTGAATGAGAATGTTCCCCACAGAAGCATACATTTGAGTACTTGGTCCCCAATTGGTGGAACTGTCTGGGGAAGGCTAGGAGGTGTGGCCTTGCTGGAGGATGCCACCTGGGATGGGCTTAGAGATTTCAGAAAGCCTCCCGCCATTCCCAGTGAGTGGGCTCTCTCCCTCCCCTCCCCATCCTGCTCCAGCCACCATGCCCACCTGTCATGCCTCTGTCCCCATTGGGAACCCTAAGCCACAATAAACCCTTATTTCTATAAACGACCTTGACCATGGTGTTTTATCACAGCGATAAAATAGTAACTAGGGTGCCATTTTACAGAGGACAAAACTGAGGGTTAAAGTCTTGGGTAGCTTGCTTGTGTTTCTTACTTTCTGACCCCGTGGATAAAACACTTGGCAGAAATAACCTAAGGAAGGAATTGTTCCTTTTGCTCCTGGCATCATGGGGTTTAGTCGACCCTGGTGGAAAAGGTGTGTGGAACGGACGCTCACGTCCTAGGGGAATGCCGCTACTCTGCTGGCTTTCTCTTTTTCTCTTATTCCATCTAGAGTCCCCAGG